TTGGAAGGCACCAGGTTAGGAAAGAGCAATGACTCAGGAGAACAGCATGTACTTTGCATGCAGGTGTCTCCAGGTAGGGCAATGGAAAGCCTGAAACACTTGAGTAGCCTCAATATTGAGTAAGATGGACCCTTGGTCTGACTGAATGCAAGACAACTCCTATGTAATTCAGCCCTTTATTGAGATCATGAGGACTAGAATCTTGCTTTATTTTAAAGAGAAAAGCTACAGCTCAGCAGTAGAGCACTGATTTCAATGCAGAAGATCCCAGATTTATCTCCAAGTAGGGCTGGGAAACACCCCTGCCTGGAACCCAGGAGAGCTGCTGCCAGCCAGTGTAGACAATACTGAGCATAGTGGGCCAATGGTCTGAATCCATATAAGGCAGCTCCCTATGTTCCTAGAACCACTTTCTAGGGTGCTTTGTGCTGCTACTGACCAGCGGAGGGGTGGCTTATGCTGTGTGCCCCTGGCAGAAGCAGGAGCAGCGGAGACCTTTGACATCCGAGTCCCTCAATCCTGCAACGTAACTCGGGCTCCATCAAGCCCAGTGCAAAAAGCAAACACACGGCTTGCCAAGAGCTATACACGGCAGGGAAAAGCCAACGGCCTCTCCAATGGAAAGAACTCTGTCTAAACACACACATCGCGGGGGCTGCCTTTGCCTGGGGCGGAATGTTTATACAACTGGCCGTGAGTGGAAAAAAAGGAGGGAGACCCCAAGTGGAGGCTAATTTTTTTTATATATTTTTTTAAACACGACTATCCTGTTCTGCAGCTCAAACGTTAAGAGATTTTGGGCAAACATGGAGCACGCACACACACACACACACACACACACACACACACTGAGAGGGTGTGTGGCCAAGCAAGACTCCCCCTTTCCCCTGCTCCTCTTTCCAAAATCTCATCACATGCTTCCCGCACCCCGACCCTTTCAAAATCTGTTTTCTGCTCCATTAGAGCTAAAACTATTTGCTTTTGCCACGGGTTCAAGCTTTTTCCTGCAGTCCAGAGACTTGAGTGTAACAGCACTCTCTGACACTTATGATTTCAAGCAACTGGCATTCAGAGGCATCCTGCCTCCAACTAGCCAATGTGGCTAGTAGCCATTTCTCAGAACTGTCTGGATAACTCCCACAGCAACATCACCCCTTGTTTCACTTACACAAGGTTGCTGCCCTTACAATGATTATGGTGAAAACCTGGATTGATTTCAAACTAAGCCCTGCCCTACCGCAAGGGCACAAGGTGGGCTACAGTATTATAAAAGCACAACTACCAGCCCAACTCAAACTGGCAAGTGAGCAACTCAAGGACAAAAGGTTTTCGGAAATGACCCTGGTAAGCAGGAAAATCCTTGCACAAGCGCGGCCAAGGAAATGACTTTTTTCCCAGAGAAGTAGTGACATACACCCATAAGCAAGTACACACCCGTGTCAGGATGGCACCCTCCCCATCGAGTGCTTTCCTCAGAACAGAAACTGGAGGCCTTTGTTGCTGTATCATTTCCTACTGTCACTTGCTAAGGGGCAGCAGTCACAAAGTGAATAAATGTCTCACACCCTCTATTTTTTAAAAAAGAAATCCCAGATTTCAGTTCCTCACCAGAACCAAAGTCTCCAGGTGTTTTCATCTGAATGCCCAAGGCATGCAAAGAACTGCAGTGGCAAAGGGGCACAAACTTGCCTAAATCTAGAACCTCAAAGAGCAGGCATCTCCCTTTTCTGGAGCCATACAGCCCCCCGTTTTGCTAAATATTAAAAGTATAGCTTTGCCAGTTTGTTGAATTACAGTTCACTTTTGTAGCATCTCTCCTATTCCTGCAGGTACATGGAGAGGGGAGAATGTGATCAGTGGAAAGGACATGAAGTCACACAGGTCTGGTCAATGCCAGGGTGGGTGACCACATAGAAGCAACATGGATGGCACCTTGAGTTCCAGAAAAGAATAATGATGAGGCATAAATATAATAAAAATAAATAATTTGAGAATTACAGCAACGCGCATCCACCCACAATAACCACCATGAACTTCTTAAGTTTTGCTACATACAGGGCATTCAGCAAAGGGGCACATATTGCAAGCCTCTTGCAAAGTGCTTGCCATGTGCCGTGGGTGTGCACCCCACGTCTCTTAAAGAGTAACGTGAGTGGCCGCCAAAAGGAAAGACTAATGTGACTAAGTCAATGCTTCAGAGGCAAATTTTTATCTAGGGATCTCACACACATGCAATCTGACTTAACAACAAACAGCCCGAGAGCATGCAACATGGTGGGAGATCGATATCTACCATCTTCTTTTTGCTAGCACCCAATTTAGAAAAAAAAAAGGGGGGGGAGAAGCGAGTCTGGATGATCATATAAATGAGCCTTGTGACCACACATGCAGCAGGAGCAAACAAGTCATAAACTCTTCAGCTAACTATAGCTCACTGTTTTGTTAAGCTATGGTTAATAGATTTAAAACAACCAAGTTTAAGAGCCCATCCAAACTTCTGTTTGATTTCAATGAATGGGTCCGAGAGGTGGCGGGGTGGGGGGGTTGTCCCACTGCTTTCCTTGGGAAAACCCACTGGTTACTGCTGAAGCAGAATGAACATCAACCAAGTTTTTCTAATTCAACAGTAAACAGCAGGTTTTCCCAGGGAAAGCAGCAGGACAAAAAAAGCACCCATTGAACCCCAAATTAAAATCACTTTAAGTCACAGGACAAATGTGTGGATTTATTGATTTGATTTTATTTTTTAAATTTCTATTCCGCTTTATATTTTTAAGAAAAATCCCAAAGCGTTTCTTAAATCAATAAAACATGAATAAAACCATGTGAAAATGAAGAAAGTCAAATACTGTATAGAGTATACAGTCAAAGCAACATAACAGAAAACTAAAACATTATCTTAAAGATTTCAAAATAAAACATTACAAAGGAGTTCAACTACAGAATACATATTTAACATAGTAGGGCTGAAATGAATAAAAAAAAATGTCCAGTAGCACCTTAAAGTCCAACTAAGTTTGTTCTGGGTATAAGCTTTCGTGTGCATGCACACTTCTTGGACAATTTATTTATTTATTTCGACTGCGTCAGAGCAACACGGCTGCCTACCTAGTAGGGCTGGGTGAGTCTGGGCCCTGCCCCCTAGGCAGGATGAGCCCAAAGTCTGCATGTATACTGGAATTGTTTTTAATATGTTTTAAAGATGTTTGTATTCTTTCTTGCAGTTCACCAGTTGGTAGCTCCATTTATAATAACCAATTTTTTAAAAAAGAAAATTCAGTTTGTAATTATTGTCTGAATAAACTGTATTCTTAATTTACCAAACACTGTAATTTTATGGCAAACCTATTTATACATAATGCATTTTAGGTTCCTAAAGCAACAGAGTGACTTTCAATCTGCAAAGGTTGCTAAACACAAACACACACACACGGCAGGGGGAATCTTTTCCCCCCATGGCTTCAAATTTTACATCTCTAGTGGGATAAAAATAATAATAAATAAATAAAATAGTAAACTAACTGCACACCATGGTTCATTCTAAAGTAGTTAACCATAGATTCCCAGTACAGTGGTACCTCAGGTTAAGAGCTTAATTCGTTCCGGAGGTCCGTTCTTAACCTGAGGTACCACTTTAGCTAACAGGGCCTCCTGCTGCCGCTGCTGCATGATTTCTGATCTCATCCTGAAGCAAAGTTCTTAATCCGAGGTACTATTTCTGGGTTAGTGGAGTCTGTAACCTGAAGCATCTGTAACCTGAGGTACCACTGTATGGCCATAATGCTAAGCTATAGTAAACTGAATGCTTTTTGATTTGTTTTCTTCAGTGAAGTGGGGAGTGAAGAAGCTGTGTGTGATCAAAAGACTCATTCATATCGCAACTTATTCAGCCAAGATATGATCACACCAAAGTGGTTGATAAGCAACCCGTTGACCACTTTTGGCCACTAATGAGTGTTCCAGCCTCAACATAGAACCCATTTCTGCAACTCTGTAATACAAGGCAACAGACTCTCAAACATATTTATATTCTAACTCAGAAACTCTGTTGTGACCGGTAGCAGACTCAGTCTGCCAGGAAGAGCCTTATTTCTTCAAGAACACAACAAGCCTGAGGGCAGGTGCTACGGAAAACTAGACTACAGCTAATGTGAAAAAAGCCAGGCCAAGCACAGCCAAGCATTGCACGCTCCTAAACTCCCTGCACACCCTTGTTCCTTAGGGAACTCTGCAACATGTCCATAATCTTTTGCCTCTGGCATATTTGGCTGAAGAGCATGAAAGCCAGCAGCCAAGAAGCTAAACTCAGGTTGCCGACACTCCACCAAAAGGAGTGCCTTCCAGTGGATTGACAATCTGGTATTCACCCCACTTTTGATCTGATGCTCTCCATTCCAAAAATAACCTACCCAAGCCATAACTGTGAGGATTTAGAAGTGGAAACCAGAAACTGGTTCAACAGGAAAAAGCGGCTTATTTGGAGCGGAAAGAAGCAACAAAAACGGGAAACAAGACTTTGGTTCCTTCAAGATCTCCAAAAATGATAAGCAGCTTTACAAGGCTTCACTGTGGCGCTGCGGTTTAAACCACAGAGCCTAGGGCTTGCTGATCAGAAGGTCGGCGGTTCGAATCCCCGCAACGGGGTGAGCTCCTGTTGCTCGGTCCCTGCTCCTGCCAACCTAGCAGTTCGAAAGCACGTGAAAGTGCAAGTAGAAAAATAGCTACCCCTCTGGTGGGAAGGTAAATGGTGCACTGCTCTGGTTCGCCAGAAGCGGCTTAGTCATGCTGGCCACATGACCCGGAAGCTGTATGCCGGCTCCCTCGGCCAATAGTGAGATGAGCGCCGCAACGCCAGAGTCATCCACAACTGGACCTAACGGTCAGGGGTCCCTTTACCTTTACCTTAACAGACTGACATTGAAATACACAAGGACAAAGCAAGGAGCGGCACAGAAATATTTAAGCATAGCTATCTGTACAAGGGCATAGTGGGGAGAGGGGGGGAGCACCCTAGGTCAGTGGCAAAGCATTTGCCTTGAGTGCAGAAGGTGACAAGTTCAATCCCTGTAGTCTCCAGGTAGGGCTGGGAATTCGTTTATTTATTTATATTCATTCCAGTCTAAAATCCGAAGAACAGCTGCCAGTCAGTGAAGACAATACTTAGATAAAGTATTGACTCGAAGTCTGACTCAATATAAGGCAACTGCCTAGTAATCAAAAGTTTACCCACACAAACTGCGCACCATGGTGTCAAAGCCACAGCTATCACTTCAGGGGCAAAAAACCCAAACCCTCTGAACACATTCGACAGCCAGACAGAACTTGCACAGTCTGCCACATCCCTTTATTGTCATTATCGCTAGACAGTCTGAACCCTCATAATCCCCTCCGTGCAAAAAGTACATCACACATGCTGTCACGTGCACCAGCATCAAAATAGTCAGCTCCGCTCCAGATTGCACAATTTAGCAAGGTCAGGGAGACGCTGGAAACCCAGCCTGTCTATGCAAAGATCAGGCCCTACAAAATCTGGCACAGATGCAGAGAGGAGTAGCATTGTCTGTGGAGCAAAATTCTTTCAGAATCCTGGAGAATACAACAGCTGACGCTAGATTATGTCAGCTCCCCATAACAGTAACCACATCACAGTCACTTCAGTGAGTACTAGAGGCCCTTTCATCGAGAGATAAAGTGGAGAGTCTGTCCCAAGTGTCAGCTTTGAAGAGTGCCCCTGGCTACCATGACATGCTGGTGCTGCTACACCCTGTAGAGCCTTGGGCAAAAGTGAGGGCCGAGCGAGACATGATGCATCTTTGCATTTAATCTGCAGGGTATTAAAAAGCACAAACAAAATCAGCGGTGGAGGGGGCTAATAATTATCAGTATCCCCGCATGCATGGAGGGGGAGTTTAAAGGTTTCTTCCCCTCCAGCAGAAAATCCCTTTGTACTCATGGGGATTCCCCAGGCCACAGAAGCAGATGCCAGCTTCGGAGGAACATCCAGAGACCTAGTTTGGATCTTGGATGTGGGTGGAATTGAGGGCAAAGACACTCCTATTCATGCCAAGTGCGAAAGCCTTGAACTTATGCTGCATTCCTAAAACATGAATATAAATAACATGACTCAGCTGAGAGAATCCTGCAAGTCATGATGCTGGAAAATCAAGAACAAGCCCCTCCATCTTGCTTTCCTGTTTAGTCCTAACTATAGTTTGGTGTGATGCGCAAACAGGCAAAGTATGGTCAGAGTTTACTCTCCAAATCACCATCAGCAACCATGTTTGAAATGGGCTCTAGTCCATAAATGCATATGCCACAATAAATCTGTTAAGTCTTCAAGTTGCCACAAGACTCTTTTTTTGTGGATTGAAGTGGGTTTCTGAGGAGGCACCACACAAATCTGTAACTGCTGTGGTTAACCTTTTGAGGCCTGTGGGCACATACAGTAAACCAGTGAAACATTGGGGAGCACCATGCACGCACCCCACAAGGCCATACAGCCTCCCAGCAGTTAGGCTTGAATTCCTCCCTACTTTTTCCCAAGTCAACTCCAACATCCCCATCTATACTCTCAGCAGATGGGAGGACTGGAGGGGGCTGGAGCCCTGCTGGTACCAGAGAAGGCCTCTGCAGGCATATGTGCACCCATGGACACAGCACTTGTGAACCATAGTTTGAAGGGTCATCTGAAATGTGCCCAAGAGTTTCAGATGAACAGACCACAAGGTGACAACCAGCTTGCCTTTGTGCCGGTACCCACAAGATTGGCATGCTAAATGGTATAGCTAACCCACAGGTGTTTTTTAAAAAACAACACCTTTTGGCTTCTTAAGACTGACTCACTGTTGACAATGTGAATTAAGCAATGTTGGACTAAGGATTTGGGTTTAGATTGCCATCTGCCTGGAGTGACAGTACTGATGAACCTTGCACGGTCTAGCGCAAACTCTCCTTTTATTACCTCCCTGTGTTGCAAAAGAAGTCAAACCTGGAGGAATGTGGGAACTGGGTCCTTCTATGAATGCAAACACACAGCTGTACTCACAGAGGGTCCAAATTAAAGCTAACCCACCTTGAAACCTTCCCCACCCAGATAGAAGATAGCTGGTGTAGCTCCAGGCACTTGCACAGGAGTTATTGCCACACTGTTCAGAAAGCCACATAGTTCAGAGATAGGGAGATAAGATTTAGGAGAATATTTAGACAAGGGTGGACGAATTCTCAGCAAGAATGTGAGGCAACTTCTAATGTCCATTTCCCACCACACACACACACCCATGAAAAATATTGAATTTGAAAGTATATCATTTGAGAATGTCACATTATTTCACAGCACGCAACAGCTTAAAATATACAGTGTAATCTGGAGAGTTGTGTACAAAATAAGCAAACTATTCCCTCTTGCGTGCTCTTTGCCAACAGAAGCTGGTTTAGCAAGCTTTTGAGTTAATACGGAGCTCTTTGTTTTTGGGCAGAAGGCGATTGCATGTCGTCAGAAGAAGTACAAGGTTATTTACTAATGCAAAAAGTTTATAGTTGCTTTGGTAAGATAGCACTTACTGTATACTTTCTGTTTATTTCTGTATACTATATTTTCAAGCTTCAATAAAATTCAAAGAAGAAGAAGAAAGATAGCACTTGGAAGTGGAAACTCAACTTTCATTCAGCTAGCTTACCTCTGAGCCTCCTTCCAAGTCAGAACCAGCCCTAAATCCTTGCAAATGACCTGTGACATCACAGAAGTTTAGCCAATGGGCTAAGAGGGGTGCCTTGTTGACAATAAATAAATTACCCATCCTCATAGCTGAGATTAGTTGAGAAAATGGAAAACCAGAGTACCAACCCAGTGTGACAAATCTGGGGAACTCTTTCCCATTTACCTTCCATGCTCAGTCAAACATTTTTATTTAATTTTAAAAACAGGACTAACTTGTGGAAGTGAATTAAGCAGCTATTTTATGCCGTGGTGGCACCAGCAGTGTTCGAAACTCCCATTGTTCTAGGTGCAGGGAATTTCATTAGCGCAAGCAGTTTCTGAGCTGTGAGCGCGGTACTGCACCAAAGATTTCAGATTAAAACTGCAGAGGTGAAGGAAATGAGGACCTTTTTCTGACTCCCCACTTCCAGCTAATCTGAAGACTGGAGAAGAGACCATCTTAAGAATATCAGAGCGGTGGGGGGCAGAGGAAGGACTAGACCCTGTGAAAAATGAACATAATATTTTAGCTGCAGTTCATTCATTTTCAGCTTTGCATTCTTGTTATTAGAAAGTGTGCCTAGACCTTCCATTGTTGTACCCATAACCTAGGTTTAAGGTGCCATTTAGCTCCTAGTTTTCATATCTCAGTTTCTAACACTGGGCACTGGGGGGGGGGAGGGATGATGAAGCTGTCTTATGCTATTTACTTTCCTGGTGAAATTAGCGCTGCTGATTTTAACAGCCCTCATGTTCAAGCAAGCAGGCTTAAGACTGCAGACTTACTTCCACTACAAGTTTATGAATTAGTTATAATTTGTTAGGTTAAATGTGTCTTTCCTTCAAGTAAACACAAGGGTAAAAGCAAAGGAGGCGGGAACTACGGTACAGGTCTATGGGGTGGAAGTGGTGAAACTTGCCCTGTATACACACACAAACAGGCACACTGGTGCCACCTTTGAATTTATGCCATCTCGCTGAGCAATGCTGCTCCCCAGCTCCTTAAGAAACAGCTTGCCAAACAATGCCCCTTAAATCCAGCAAAAGTAAACCACTCTTTGCTATTCTGCCATCACAGCCAGACCACCAGTCTTTGGGCAAGGCTTTTGCAAACATCTCCCACTTTGTAAACATCATCCATCATTCAGGAGATGCCAGGCCCCAGCTGGCACAAGGGGAACGGAAGCTCTCTCTCCATCTTGCGTGACACAAGAAAGCGCTCCGGTGCCGGTGGCTCAGGGCCCAGCATGCCCAGCCTCAAGACGGAGGAAGCAAGGCAGCCATTTTGGGAGCTTTGGCGAACAAAGCTAATTCTGGCTTCGGGCCTAGGCTGAAGAATGAAGCATCCCAGCACAGGGGGCTGCAGTTTTAAACCCTACACACCACCTCTCCCCACTTTATCAGGAGGGAATGGGGAGGGCAATCAAGAAATAAAGAAGAATAACTGCTGGGAGTCGAGGTGGGAATGACAGCACAACTTCTGTTATCCTCTTCAAGTTGGTTCATGACCTACCACAGTGAAGACAATAGGGTTTTTAATATCACCACCTCAGCATATCAACCAGATCTAGATCAAGGACAGGAGGAGGGGAAAGAAGGAGCATTTTTTTGCTATCATTACAAAGGCAGCAGTGTTTTGAGAGTCGGCATGCGAAGAAAGTACAGTACAGAGAAAGGTCTAAATGTGCTATCTCACGAAGAGACTCCTCTTTTGTGAAAGCAATGAAAAGGAAAGCAAAAAAGCAAAAAGCCACAAAGCCACAATGGGGGGGGGTACTTGTGAGCAGAGGTTTGGAAAGAAATGTTGGAATATTTGAAGCCAGTTGAAGGTTAAAGCAATAACTGCTTGAATAGAGAAGCTGCTTTAATTTTTCAAAGGTGGGATGGTGAAGCCCAAAAGCTAAACCCAGGTCAAGCATCATATTGCACTGTTTTTTTTCTTCGCTGACCTTAATTCGAGGAGTTGACCTGGTTTTCTTTTCTTGACCTTAATTCTACCCAATGTCTGCTTACGTCACAGGCTTGGGTCACAAAAGCATCTTCTCAGTATATTTGAGACAGGCATTGGCTTCTCCCTGCCCTCTTAAAATGGGAGGGGGGAGCCACCCAAGGCTTTTGGCTGGCTTAGCTTCAGAGGAGTCCTAACCACACAACATCTTCTGCCCAACAACTGCCCAACAAGGCCAAACCCCTGAGCTGTTCCCAATGAGAATGCATTCAGAGGGGAAAGTGATGACATGAATCCACCACAAGGATCTTTTTTTAAAAGAAAGAAAAGAAAAGCAACAGTCTGGGTTACGAGAGGATTGCCAAGTCACAGATGGATGCCAGCATGGAGGCTTACCATATTCTGGGTCTGGTGGATGAGTGGGAAAGGTCT